ACACACACACACACACAAACAAAGTCAGGGCTGACTCCCGGTTCTGTGCTCAGGGCTCACTCCCGGCTCTGTGCTCAGGACTGACTCCTGACTCTGTGCTCGGGGCTGACTCCCGACTCTCTGTGCTCAGGGCTGACTCCAGACTCTGTGCTCGGGGCTGACTCCCGCTCTGTGCTCAGGGCTGACTTGCGGTTCTGTGCTCAGGGGACCCTATGGGATGCCGGGGATCGAACCTGGTCGGCCGCGTGCCAGTCCAGCGCCCTCCCCGCTGTGCTATTGCTTGGGCCCTCGGGCTGCCTGTCACGTGTCTTAGTCCTGTGGGTCCCACAGTCTCGTCTCCGAGAAAATGTCTGGGGATGCCCGTCTGTTTCTTTGAGCGCCTTCAGGCGCTTCTGGTCTCTGATCACCAGCGAGGGATCCTGAGAACTTTCCCGCCCGGCCCGGCACCGAGGGCCGGCACTGAGAGGAGGATCGTGTGGGCTCGAGGGTGGCGCCCGTCCTCAGTGACACCCCCCCCCCCCCAGGTGTACGTGACAGCCGAGAGCCGCTTCAGCGCCCTGGCCGAGCTCGTCCACCACCACTCGACGGTGGCCGACGGGCTGGTGACCACGCTGCACTACCCGGCGCCCAAGTGCAACAAACCCACGGTCTACGGCGTGTCGCCCATCCACGACAAGTGGGAGATGGAGCGCACCGACATCACCATGAAGCACAAGCTGGGCGGCGGCCAGTACGGCGAGGTCTACGTGGGCGTCTGGAAGAAGTACAGCCTCACCGTGGCCGTGAAGACCCTCAAGGTGGGCGCCCGGCCTGCGGGGGGGACGCGCGCGCACGCGGGCACGCGCATTCGCTGTCTCTGGGCACACGCACGCAGTCTCTGGAGACACACACACACAGGCACACACACGCAATGCACGCACCACATGAGTGTGTACACACGCACATACACACAGGCACACAAACACACATACACAGAGACACACACACACACACACACACACACAGACTCAAACACAGCCTCTGGCTGGGTGCTAGGAGGCAGAGCTCAGAGGGACTGGTCGGTGCCAGCGCCTGAAGGGCGTTTGTGGCCCGAGAGCGCCCTCTGGTGGACTTAGGCCGCACTTCCGTTGGAGACGCCCCCTCTTTCTTCCGCCTGGTCTGAGCACTTTTTGTGAGGCTCAAGCCCTTTCCCTGGGGTCTCTCCCGCCAGCACCCTGGCATCGTGCTAGCGGGGGCGCGGCCTTTCCCCTGGTGATCCCCCCCCGCCCCCCGCGCCAAGGCTCAGGGATGGCATCTCGTTCTGACGGGTGGAGAGTGCAGGGGCATGTGCTTTGGGGACGTCTCCGGTCCTGTCAGGGGCCAGAGGCCACGGCCACCGAGACCTGGTTCTGCCGGCTGCTCTGGGCCGATCCGCGGCGCTGGAAGCTGGAGCGAGGGGCCCAGGGCTGCCTCTCCCGCTGACTGACGTTTTCATCTGTGACTCTCCGCTTCCCCGTCACAGGAAGACACGATGGAAGTGGAGGAGTTCCTCAAGGAGGCCGCGGTGATGAAAGAGATCAAACACCCGAACCTGGTGCAGCTGCTCGGTGAGCTGCCCGGGCCTCCTGGCCGCCCCTGCCTGTGGCCAGACCCCGTCACGCCGTGTCTCAGTGGGTCCCCAGCCCTCTCCAAGGGCCCGGCTGCGGCCGCTGCCCCGGGGCCAGCGCTTACAGCTGTTCAGAGCCACACCGGGCAGGACCATGTGCCCCACCCAGGCCGCCACGGAAGGGAAGATGTCCCCCAGACAGACGCAGCACGAGCAGAGGGAGGAGGGGGTGCCTCTGCCCCCCGTCCACCTCTCCCAGCAGGCGGGGACTGGCACCCCCAGACCCCCACCCCGTGGGGCCTTCTCAGAGCCAGGCTGGTTCCTGCAGCTCTGTCCATCACAGCTGCCGGCCAGGGAGGTCCTTGTCTCGGGCCCCAGGCTAAGCGAGCGGCCACAGTCTCCGGCCTGCCCACGGCCACTGCTACTGCTGCTGCGTGTCCATCCCACAGGCAGTTGGGGCTGGGGGTCAGGCCATGGACAGAACTCTGAAAATTCCCATCTTCCTGGGCCCTTCTGGAATCACTTATAAGAACTGCATGGGGGTGGCGGGAGCAATAGCACAGCGGGGAGGGCGTTTGCCTTGCACGTGGCCGATCCCAGGTTCAATTCCCAGCATCCCATGTGGCCCTCTGAGCACCGTAATTCCTGAGCGCAGAGCCAGGAGTAACCCCTGTGCATTGCCGGTGTGACCCAAGAAAAAAATGAACTGCATTGGGGGCTGGAATGATGGACGGGAGGGGGAGGTCGGGAAGACAGTTGCTGTGCACATGGCTGACCAAGGGTCGGTCCTCTGACCTTCACAGAGTGACCCCTCAGCACCACTGGGTGTGACCCCAAGACACTCCCCCCCCCCCAAAAAAAACTGTCCAAACACTTTTAATTTTTTTGCTTTGTTTGGAGGGGGGTCCCACCTGGTGATGCTCAGGGCCTCCTCCTGGCTCTGCACTCAGGGATCACTCCTGGTGGTGCTCTGGGGACCCTAGGGGATGCTGGGGATCGAACCCAGGTCAGCTGCGTGCAAGGCAAACGCCCTCCCCGCTGTGCTATGGCTCCAGCCCCAAACACAAGTGTCCAAGACCCTCCGAAGTGACACTCTGGACAGAGAGACCCTTTATCAGTTGGTGTCTTTTTTTTTTTAGGGGACGGGGTGACCGGGCCCGGCGGTGCTCAGGGCTTCCCCCTGTCTCAGAGCTCATTCCTGGTCGTGTTCCGGGGCCCAGTTGGGGTACCGGGGTTAGCACCCAGGTCAGCAAGGCCAGTGCCCTCCCCGCTGTGCTGTCCCACCGGCGCCCGGTGAGGGTCCGAGCAGCCCCTGAGCGGCGGCGGCCCTGTCTCGCCCGCAGGCGTGTGCACGCTGGAGCCGCCCTTCTACATCGTGACCGAGTACATGCCCTACGGCAACCTGCTCGACTACCTGCGCGACTGCAGCCGCGAGGAGGTGACGGCCGTGGTGCTGCTGTACATGGCCACGCAGATCTCGTCGGCCATGGAGTACCTGGAGAAGAAGAACTTCATCCATCGGTGCGTGCGCCCGGCCGTCCGGGAGGGCACCGGAACCTCCCAGAAACTCGGGCAGGCAGCCCCTCTCCGTGGGCCGTCCTGGCGCCAGTGATGGTGTTTACTGGGGTCAGAGCGACGGTTCAGCGGGGAGGGTGTTGGCCTTGCACGCGGCCAACCTGGGTTCGAGCCCCGGCATCCCATAGGGTCCCCCGAGCACCGCCAGGAGTGATTCCTGAGTGCAGAGCCAGGAGTCGGCCCTGAGCATCGCCGGGTGGGACCCCAAAAAAGCCAAAAAACAAAACAACAAAAAATACTAGTCACGGCGCACTCAGTCTTACTAAACAGCGTGACGTGTGTTGAGAAGCGTGTCCCTTCCCCCCCTTAACAGTCCCGCTGCCCTTGGTGACAGCTCTGGGCTGGCCTCGATCGCGGCTCCTTCCCGGTGAGCGGGACCCCTGCCCTGGTCCCACTCGGGGTGGAATCGCATCCGCCGCCTCTTCCCCGCAGGGACCTCGCAGCTCGGAACTGCCTCGTGGGGGAGAACCACGTGGTGAAGGTGGCCGACTTCGGCCTGAGCCGGCTGATGACCGGGGACACCTACACGGCCCACGCGGGCGCCAAGTTCCCCATCAAGTGGACGGCGCCCGAGAGCCTGGCCTACAACACCTTCTCCATCAAGTCCGACGTCTGGGGTAAGGCTGCGCGGCCGGGGGTCCGCCTGCCACCGTCGTCCTGACCCACGACCTTCTGGAGAGCCGCTCGGCTCCGTGGACCCTGCTTGTCCTTCACCCCGTCCTCAACCCAGCCACTGAGCTAGACTTTTCCCGAGAAACTCCCAGCTACTCACCTTTTGCCCTTAAAGCCAGAGCCAGGGCTGGAGCCATAGCACAGCGGTAGGGCGTTCGCCTTGCACAAGGCCAACCTGGGTTCGATCCCCAGCACCCCCTAGGGTCCCCCGAGCACCGCCAGGAGTGATTCCTGAGTGCAGAGCCAGGAGTCAGCCCTGAGCATCACTGGGTGGGACCCAAAGAGCCAAAAAAAAAAAAAAAAAAAGAATTGGGTGAACTAATGTTACAGCCAGGGTAAGAGAAATGACCCCATGCCGCGCAGTCAGTTTTTGTTTGGCTTGTTCCTCACACAGCTTTCGGGGTCCTGCTGTGGGAAATCGCCACCTATGGGATGTCCCCGTACCCAGGGATCGACCTGTCTCAGGTCTACGATCTCCTGGAGAAGGGGTACCGGATGGAGCAGCCCGAGGGGTGTCCCCCGAAGGTCTACGAGCTCATGAGAGCCTGTGAGTATATTTGCACCGTCGTGGGGTTCGTGGCCACTCAGGGTCATCTGCACATCCCGGGGAGTAGTTTTCTCTGAGTTCGTCACCAGGAACTTCGTGGCGTTTAACCAACTGCCCACGGGCACATCGCGCTGTCTTAAAGGGATCCTTTGGAGGGTCGCTCATGGCCCAGACACTCACGTGTTGAAGAGAAGAATAAAAAAGGTGGATTGGGGCCGGAGCGATAGCACAGCGGGGAGGGCATTTGCTTTGCACGCAGCCGAACGGGGTTCAATCCCAGGCATCCCATAGGGTGCCCCGAACCCTGCCAGGAGTGATTCCTGAGTGCAGAGCCAGGATTAACCTCTGAGCATCGCCAGGTGTGACCCAGAAAGCCAATAAATAAATAAAAAGGTGAATTTAGAGACAGGTAGGGGAAGGCCGGCTTTGGGTCCGTGCTGATTGCAGTGAGCGGTCCGTCTCAGCTCCAGACTTGGGGAGGAGAGTCTGCAACCGGGCAGAGACGCTGCTTTGAGCGCCAGTGTCTCCAGCCTCCGGGCAGTGCCAGACGCCTCCTGGGGCATCTGTGAGCCTGGAGTCGCCACTCTCCCTTCCTCTGATTCCCAGGCTGGAAGTGGAGCCCGGCCGACAGGCCCTCGTTTGCTGAGACACACCAGGCCTTTGAGACCATGTTCCACGACTCCAGTATTTCAGAAGGTGAGACCGTGGACCGTGGTGGTGGGGGAGGGGGCCGGTTCCGGGCCAGGGGGTCACGTTCCCCACCTGTGGGACCTCACAGGTGGGACTCTTACCAGGCCATCGCCGTTCTTTCCCTTTACATGACTTGGAAATATTGAAATCTCCTATTTTAATCAGTAAACTGTGTTCCGTTAGAAATCAGTAGCCTAGGGGCTGGAGCGATAGCACAGCGGGGAGGGTGCTTGCCTGGCATGCGGCCGGCCTGGGTTCGATTCCCAGCATCCCATAGGGTCCCCCGAGCAGAGCCAGGAGTAACTCCTGTGCATCGCCGGGAGGGCCCCAAAAAGAAAAAAAAAATAGCCTGGAGGGGGCTGGAGTGACAGTGGAGTGGGCAGGGAGCCCCGGCCGCGCCCTCTCCCGTCCCCTGGTGGGTCAGCGCTTCCCGGTGCCCGTGTCCTCCTCGCAGAAGTGGCAGAGGAGCTTGACCGAGCCGCGTCCTCGTCGTCCATCGTTCCCTACCTGCCGCGGCTGCCACTGCTGCCCTCCAAGACGCGGACGCTCAAGAAGCCGGCGGACAACAAGGAGAACATGGATGGGGCCGTGGACGCCGCCACTGAGAATTCCGCAGGTTGGGCCTGGCCCCGCGCAGAGGTGCCGGCGGGGGTGGCGGGCGGCAGGGACCCCACAGGCCAGTGTCCCATCGGGGGTGCCCATGGGCATGAGGCGGGCGTGGTGCACTGATGGACCCTGCCCGTGCATTGCCGTGTGCTGTGGGAGGGGGTCCCCACTGGGGCGATGGTCCCGTGGGGGGGTGGGGTCTCCGTGGGCGTGAAGTGGCCACTGCTGGCCTCTGGGCCCGCCCCATCTGCCAGCCCCGCCCCTAGCCTCTGGTCCTGCCTGCAGGCCCCACCCCAGCATCTGGCCCCGCCCCACCTGCCATCCCACGCCCTGCCTTGGTCTGCCCTACCCGGTCTGCTGGCCCTGCCCTACCTCTTACCCTGCCTACAGGCCCCACCCCGGCGCCTGGCCCCGCCCCATCTACGAGCCCCGCCTACAGGCCCCAGTCTGCCCAGGCCTTCAAAGACCCCTGACCCCGTCTACAGGCCCCACCCCATCTGTAAGCCCCGCCTAAAGGTCCTGCCCCGTGTCTGGCCCTGCCCACAGCCCCTGGCCCTGCCTATAGGCCCCGCCCCATTTACGAGCCCCACCCACAGGCCCCGCCCCATCTGCCTTCCCCGCCTACAGGCCCCATCCCCGGTGTCTGGCCCCACCCACCGCCTCTGCCACTGCCTATCGGCCTGCCCTACGAGCCCCGCCTACAGACCTGGCCGGCCCCATCTGCAAGCCCCGCCCACAGGCCCCGCCCCTGCGTCTGGCCCTGCCTACAGGCCCCGTTCTGCCCAGTCCCTTCAAAAGCCTCTGACCCTGCTTACAGGCCCCGCCCCGGCGTCTGGCCCCGCCCACAGCTCTGGCCCTGCCTATAGGCCCCGCCCCATCTACGAGCCCCGCCCACAGGTTCCACCCCGCCTACAGGCCCCGCCCCGGTGTCTGGACCCACCCACAGCCTCTGCCTCTGCCTATCGGCCTGCCCCATCTACGAGCCCCGCCTACAGACACTGGCCCGCCCCATCTGCAAGCCCCGCCCCGGCGACTGGCCCCGCCCACAACCTCTGGCCCTGCCTATAGGCCCCGCCCCATCTACTAGCCCCGCCCACAGGTTCCACCCCCGCCTACAGGCCCCGCCCCAGTGTCTGGACCCACCCACAGCCTCTGCCTCTGCCTATCGGCCTGCCCCATCTATGAGCCTCCCTACAGACACTGGCCCGCCCCGAGACAGGCCCCGCCCACAGCCTCTGACCCTGCCTGTCGGCCCCGCCCCGCCCCGCCCGCGAGCCCCGCCCACAGGCCCCGCCCCGGCTGGCTCCGCCTCGCCACTGACCCTGTCCCCCTCCCGCAGGGCTGCTCCGCGGCGCGCAGGGCCCTGGCGGGTCCCCGGCGCTGCCCCGCAAGCAGCGCGACAAGTCCCCGGTGGGGCTGCTGGACGACGGGCGCGAGGCGGGCTTCGCGCGCGACCGCAAGGGCGGCTTCTTCAGCTCGTTCATGAAGCGGCGCAGCGCGCCCGCCCCGCCGCGCCGCAGCAGCTCGTTCCGCGAGATGGAGCCGCCGCCCGCGCGGAGGCCGGAGCCGCCCGGGGAGGACGCGGGCGCGGGCGGCTGGGCCGGCCTCTCGGGCTTCTTCACGCCGCGCCTCATCAAGAAGACGCTGGGGCTGCGCGCCGGCAAGCCCGCGGCGGGCGAGGACGCGGCCAAGCCCTTCCCGCGCTCCAACTCCACGTCGTCCGTGTCCGCGGGCCCCGCCGAGCAGGACCGCCTGACCATGACGCTGCCGCGCAACTGCCCGCGCGCGCGTGCGCCGCTCGAGAGGACCGCGTCGTCGGCCGCGTCCCCGCCCGAGGACGCCGGCGACGCGCCGGCCCGGCGCCCGGACGCCGCGCGGCCCCGCGCCAAGCTGCTGGCGCGCGAGCGGGACCGGGACCGGGACCGCGATCGGGAGCGCGAGCGCGAGCGGGACCGGGACGCGCGCGCCGACGACGGCGGCGGCGGCGGCGGCGAGGCGGGCGCCTGGAGCCACAAGGTGCCCGTGCTCATCTCGCCCGCGCCCGAGCGCGGCCCGGGGCTGCCCCTCGTGGGCACCGACTCTCAGGGCAACAAGTTCAAGCTCCTGTCCGAGCACCCGGGCGACAAGGACCGGCCGCGGCGCGTGAAGCCCAAGTGCGCGCCGCCGCCGCCGCCCGTGCCGCGCCCCGAGGACCCCGCCGCGCCCCCCGTGGCCGCCGCCGCCGAGGCCCCCGACGCCGCCGCCGCCGCGGGGAAGAGGCCGGGGCCCGCGGGGGGCAAGGCCCCGAGGCCCGCCCTACCCCCTCCGCAAGTGCCTCCGGCCGCGCCGGCCGCGTCGCCCGCCAAGCTGGCCAACGGCACGGCGGGCGCCAAGGTGGCCCTGCGCAAGACGCGGCCGGCGGCCGAGCGGGGCCCGGCCGAGAAGGTGAGCCGCGAGGCGCTGCTGCAGTGCGCCGACCTGCTGTCCAGCGCCATCGCCGAGCCCGTGCCCAACAGCCAGCTGGTGGACACGGGCCACCAGCTGCTGGGCTACTGCTCGGGCTACGTGGACTGCATCCCGCAGACGCGCAACAAGTTCGCCTTCCGCGAGGCCGTGAGCAAACTGGAGCTGAGCCTGCACGAGCTGCAGGTGGCCCCCGCCGCCGCCACGGCCGGGGGCCCCGGGGCCAGCCCCGCGCTCGGCCACCTGCTGTCCTGCGTGCAGGAGATCAGCGACGTGGTGCAGAGGTAGCCGCCGCCCCCGCCGGGGCCTGGGAGGCGCGCGTGTCCCCGTGTCCCCGTCCTCAGCGGCCGAGCTCTCACGTTTACAGGGTCATCTCAGTTACCGAAGGGCAAAAAAAAAGCGAACAGCGGACCCCGATTCGGAGGCGGGGTTGGGGGGCCGGGCACTCGCCCACCGGACCCGAAGCCCAGGTGGCACCTCAGGGAGCGCCGGCGGGCACCCCGGGCCTGTCTGATCGGGGGCGCGGTGGGCACGGCGCAGAGAAACGGAAATGTGCTGGAGACGGTTGGTGAGCGCGGTCACGGCCGAGGTCATCCCGGTGAGCAAGGGCACGGCCAGTGTTGTGTGGGCAAGGTCATGCCGGGAACCCCAATCAGGGCACTGCCGTGTCAGTGCAGGAAAAGGGGTGGCGCGTGGAGGCCGTGGGGGTCCCACCCGCGGGCGAGCGAGGCCCCAGATTCAGGGTTCGGGAACGTGGGTCCTGCACACATCTCAGGGCAGGGGGCACCTCTGCCCCCGCCCCCTTCCCCCTCCCCACCAGCCGGACGCCAGCTTGTCTGGGGGGTCCGGCTTGGCTCTGTGCCAGGTCTGTTCCAAGGGAGCTGCTACCGGGCACGCGGGTCAGCGTGTGGGTCGCGGGTCACCCCTCCTGCCATTCTGCACCTGCCAGTCCCGGGGCCACGGTGGGAGTGACCGCTCCCTCAGCCCCTGGAGACTCCTGGCGTCTGGAAAGGGGGAAGGGGGCGTCTCCCTAGCCCTCGGTCGGGGTGTGTTCGGGTAGGGAGCCCCCCAATGCCACGCTGCCCTGATGGCTGACGGTCCCTCTGTGGCTTTGCGGCCAACGGGGCAGGTTGGAACCTCAACTCTGGAGGTCGAGCGAGCACTGAGGCCTGGCCCCAGGAAAAAGCTGGGGGTGCTGGAAGCAGCCGTGCGGGCGTGTCCTGCGGGGGTCCCGGCCCCTCCCACCCTCCCCGTGTCCCTCCAGAAACTTCAACCCATTTCGTTGCGACTTGGGAGGGGTCGCCAACACCCGGGTCAGTTGCTGCTTTCTGGGTGGGCTCCCCGCTCCCAGGTCTGGGGGTGTGTGGGGAAGGGGTCCCAGTTCTGCAGGGGCGCCTGGCCAGTAGCCTCCCTGCCCCCACTTCCCTGTCCATCACCGCTGCTGGGACTGGGGTCTCGGGGGCAGCTCAGAGGCCCTGTCCCCTGGGCTCGGGACGCGTGACTCAGTTAGCCTTTGCCCGGTCGGCCACCATCCCCGCGCGTTGCGTGTCTGCGTCCTCCCCGAGACGGGCCTGGAGGGCTTCCTGGAGGCAGTGGGCACCGCTTGGGGCTTCCACCTTAAGGCTGGCCCTGCCGGGCAGTTTCCTAGCGGAGCTCGAGGCCGTGAGAGCGAGTCGTCCTGGGCCCGAGGGGCGCAGCCGGCAGGGAGCAAGGGATACTACTGCAACTACCTCAGGGTTGGAATGTGCGCGGGATCATGGGGGTCGCGGGGGGGGGGTCGCCTGCCCTGCTGCTGCTCACCCTGGGACCCTGCGCTGGGGGGAGAGGTCGCGCCCTGCTGGATCCGGGGGGGCTCCACGGAGGCGCGTGGGGGCCGGGGTTTTGCACCTGTGCCCACTGCGGTCCGAAACTGGGGCCCTCGGGTTCCTGGCGGGTTGGGGGGGCCCGTCGTGCCGCCCTGAGAATCACTGCCTGGAGCGGCCGGCCAGACAATCAGTGGCCAGGGCACGCACTCGGGGGGGCCCCCGTCGGCGGCACTCAGCACTTTGAGGGGACCCCCCGCTGCCCAGCACACGCCCACAGGCTCAAGCCCGACATCCCGCCTTCCGGGACACTCGCTCCGTCTGAAAAAGCACTTTGAGAGAAAAAGCACCGAGTGTCCGGGTCAGCTGAGGCTGTCACGCGTGTCCCTGGTCACCAGTGGGGACGCAGACCTAGAGGCCGTATCCCCCTAAGGGGAACAGCTGGGGTGCAGAGACCCCAACCCTCTGGGGTGCCTGCCGAGTCTTGACAGAGGCACCGTGTGCGTGTCCCCAGAGAAGCGCTGTGACATGTGACACCTGGGCGCCGTGTGGCCAGACCGTCCTGCTGGGCTGTTGGTTTGGGGGGGGGGGGCAGCAAACAGCCAGGTGACCTTGGTACCAGTGCACTTTGGGGGTGATTTTTCTGACTGCGGGAGGTGGCCATCGGCTACTTAGGGGCACACAGCCTGTCCCCCCCACCCTGTGCTGGCCGGGACTGTCATCTTGCTGCGGTGACTTGTTCTCCCTGACTCAGGGGTTTTTCCGGGCGCTCTGGGGCCCCCCTGTCCCCCAAGACGGTGGCCGCTGGCTCTCGCCTCGGTGCAACTGCCAGGACAACTCTGTTGTCCCCTGCTGGGGCACCCCGGCGGTCCTCCGGGCACCCCCCGCCAGTTCTCTGCCTCCCGGGGCCTGGTGTGTGCGGAGGGTCCTTCTGCCTGGCCCTTGGGCATCCGTGCCAGTGGTGCCTTCTGGTGCCGACTGACCGGAGCACGCGTGGGCGAGTTTGGGGGGGGGGTGTGCTCCCAGCCCCCCACCCACCCTGCAGGGTCAGCGGGACGCCCTCTCCAAGTGCACTTACTACTTAGCCCCAACGCCCACTTGCGCTCTCGGCCGTGACCCCCCCCCTTTGTCATTCCCCCCACCCCTAGGGCACAGCTGCCAGGTGCTGGGGTCTCGGACACGCTGGGGGACTGGGAGGGATGGACTGGGGCTGGGGTCCGAGCTGGGATTCGCCCGTCAGATGCGTGACTGCTGGCACGTGGTACCTGTGAGCACACAGGGGCGTGACCTGCCGGGGGACGGGGCCCCAAACCTGACCTGTCCCCACCTCTCCGGGCCCCTCGTGCCTGGACGTGCAGTGACCTGTCGGGCCCCCGGGGAAATTAGGAACCAGCAAGTGAGGTACTTGGAGTCTGGAACCCTCAGCTGGGGGTTGGGTTCCTGGCCACACCCCACACTCCCCGGTGCCCCCCGTCCCGTCGATCCTGGACTGGCCGAGTGGAGGACCCCCACCCCCGGGGCAAAGCCAAGTGACCGTCTCACAGCTGCTGACGGAATGCGACTCAGACCCCCGACACAGGCGCCTCAGCTGATACCAAAGGTCCCGCCCTGCAGGGGGCGGGGCGAGGGGTCCTGGCGCCGTGGGCAGGGCTGAGGGGTGGCGGGTGGGCGGGACACACTCCGGCCTTGTCAGGTATCTGTCCTTAACTGTCCTGTAAGATACTTTCAGCTGTTCTGTTTTCCTAATTTAATGCTCACCCTTGTCTGACTGTGAACTGCTAACAGTGTTAAACTTGATGTAAATAAAAGAGGGCCCCTCCCCGCAGGGGAACCCGCGCGCTCTGCCTCCGTGTCCAGGCCCCGCCAGACCGCGACGGCCAGCGCTGGCCGGAGGGGGCCCTGGGCCATGGGGGGGGGCAGCACCCGGGAGTGAGCTGACACCCTCGTTCCTTCTCTCCCGGAGCCTCGTCTTAACTGTTGGGGTGGGTGGGGGTCACTCCTGGCTATGCTCAGCGCCTGGGGGGCCCCTGCGTCTTAACTGTTGGGGTGGGTGGGGGTCACTCCTGGCTATGCTCAGCGCCTGGGGGGCCCCTGCGGGCGTCCGGGTGTCCTCAGGTGCCCCTGTGGCATCTGTTCATACTGTCCCCAGGAGTGGGGGATGGAGAAGGCACCTCAGGTTGGGGTCTGGGCCAGTTGCTGGTCCTGGAGCTTCTGTTCAGACCAGGGCAGCACCAGGTCCCCCGACTCTGCACATCTAGTGGGGCTCAGAGGCAAGAGGACATCAAAGAAGAGAGGTGGTAAGACGTAGGGGGCCCCCCGGCACCGTGGGGCATGTCCCAGAGGAGGCGGGGGTCTCAGGTCGGGGCATGCGCCTGTCCTGGTTCCATCTTGACTGGGTATGGCCCTCATCATCAGGTGTTTTTTGCTTGCTTGTTTTGGCTTTTGGGGTCACACCCGGGGATGCTCAGGGCTGATTCCTGGCTCTGCACTCAGGGATCACTCCTGGCGGTGCTCGGAGGACCCTAGGGGATGCCTGGGATCGAACTTGGCTCCGCACCCAGGAGTCACTCCTGGTCATTCCTGGCAGTGCTCGGGGGGCCCTATGGGGTGCCAGAGATCGAACCCGGGTCGGCCACATGCAACAGAAACGCCCTCCCCGCCGTGCTATCGCTTGACCCCGTTTTTCTTTTTGCTTTTTGGGTCACACCCGGCGATACTCAAGGTTTCTCCCAGCTCTGCACTCTGGGATCACTCCTGGCGGTGCTCGGAGGATCCTAGGGGTTGACGGGGATCATACCCGGGTCATCGGAGTGCCAGGCCAATGCCCCACCCGCTGTGCTATAGCTCCGGCCCCCAGCATCACAGCTTTTGAGGTGGCTTGCGGCTGGGAGAGACCCCCCTCAGCATTCCGGTGGCAGTTGAGGCCGCGGGCTCTAGAAAAATACCAGCTTTAATCTGTCCAGGGTCGCCCCGCGTCACTGTCCTCCCATCGGCCGCCGTAAGCACCAGGCTCCCGCGGGCGTCACGGCGACAGGTAGCTGAGCCTCTGCGAGACGGACTTGCAGCCCTGCGCCGAGAAGAGCGGCTGCTCCCTGGGTACGGTCACCAGCGCGGTGGCCAGCTCCTGCAGGGCCGCGTCCGGGCACGGCTGGCCCCGGGCCGCGCAGGCGTCCAGCGCGCACAGTCCCACGTGCCGCGCCTCCAGCGGCAGGAAGGGCACGAACAGCTCCACCAGCCGCTCGCGCACCAGCGCGCTCTGCCCGAAGCCGCCGTCTGCAAGGGATCGGGGGGAGGACGCACCGTCAAGTCAGGTCAGGTCAGGCCGGGCCGCGGGGACCCCCACCGCTCCGGGAAGCCCCCCTCCTCACTTTACCTGTGGCCATCTCGGCCTGCAGGCGAGGCTCCAGGTGCTCCAGGGTGATGTCCTCGCGGGCCAGCCCCGCTCGCAGCAGCTGCAGCACCGTCTCACTGATGGCGCTGCCCCCCAGGTTGCTGGAAGACAGGTGGGGGGCTGGCTGGGACCCCAGCACGCCCGCCCCGCCTGGGGGCCTGCTCGCCTCACTTGGACCCCTGAACCTGACCCCCGAAGATTAGGGCATGCTGAGGGATGAGGAATGGGGAAGGTCCCTCTTTTTGCTTTTTTTGTCCCACCCCGAGATGCTCAGGGGTTCCTACTGGCTCTGCACTCAGGAATTACTCCTGGCGGTGCTCAGGGGACACTATGGGATGCTGGGGATCGAACCCGGGTCGCCACATGACAGGCCAACACCCTCCCCGCTGTGCTATCACGCCAGCCCTGGAACTTCTAATTTTTTTATTTATTTATTTATTTTGCTTTTTTGGGTCCCACCGGCGATGCACAGGGGTTCCTCCTGGCTCTGCACTCAGGAATCACTCCTGGCGGTGCTCGGGGGACCCTAGGGGATGCCGGGGATCGAACCCGGGTCGGCTGCATGCCAGGCAAACGCCCTCCCCACTGCACTGTTGCTTGGGCCCCGGAAGGCCCCTCCGAAAGGAACGTCACCCCGGGTCCCCGCCATAGACACCTGCCACCACCTACCCCCCAAACTTCTGACCAGGCTGGTCCAGTCACAAGGGGATGGACAGATGGACAGTGCTTGGCCAAGCAAAAGGGACGGGTGAACCTGCCCCCCAAATAGGGAAGGCCCAGCCATTGCCCCCAGGACCCATGCCAGGAGGAGACAGACCCCTGGGAGCTGGGGTGGGGGGTGAGGCCGGGGTGGAGCAGCAGAGAGAAGCCCAGGGTCTCAGCAAGCCCCCCTTAGCAAGGCCCAGCAGAACGGCTGCTGGCGGACACGCAAAGGCACAGCAAGTCCTGTGCCCAGCCCCAGGCGCTGTCCCCCGCGCCTCCAGCCGCTCTGCAGGCAGAGGGTGGGCGGCAAGAGCTCTGTCCCCAGACCCGCAAACCTGCCGGCCAGGACTTCACAGAAATGCTCAGACACGCCCGAGAGGCAACGGAGCCGCCCGCCGAGCCCAGACCCTCTCCCCAGGCGCCTCTGGGCGCTGCACCCCAAAAGTGCAGCCCGCGAAAGCACCCAAACACGAGGTGCCATGGGGGGGCGGCCACCCCGCGGGAAGGCCGCCCCCTGGCGGCAGGGCTGAGAATTGCACCTCCACCCCCTCCAAGGAGAGGAACGGCCAGAACTGAGCCCTCGGGGGGCCAGGCCAGCCCCTGCAGGTGGGACCCGCACCCTGGGAAGCCCCGCCCTTTCCGACCGGGGAAGGGGGGGGCTGGACCGTCCCACGCGCAGAGCCCCAGCTGCCCGGCGCCCGCCTCGGCCTTGGAGCGCCCCCTCGCGGCCAGGGGTCAGCTGCAAGCTCCAGCAAGCCAAGGGGTCCTGGGTCCTGCCCCCCGCCCCGCGCCCCAGGCTCACCTGAGGAAGAGGAAGATGGTGTCGGAGTCCCCGGGCGCCTCGGGGTGCTGGCGCTCCAGGTGCGGCCGCAGGGCCTCCAGCAGGCCGGGGTGCAGCTTCTCGGCCTCGTCGAAAATGAAGAGGGTCTGGCCGCAGCGCCCTTGCGTCCCTCGGATCTGCCGGGCCAGCAGCTCCTGCACGCGGGCACTGGACGGTCAGCGCTGCCCCGCTCCCCGCTCGCCTGGAGCAAACGGAGCGGGTGGGGGAGGGGGGACGGAGCGGGCGGGGCCTCTCACCGGGGTTATAGACTGGGCGGAGCACCGCCCTTGGGTCCGGGAGCGGGCGGGGCCTGTCTCAGCGAGGCCCGGGAGTGGACGGGGCTCCCAGCGCGGCCCGAGAGTGGGCGGGGCCTCTCGGCAACGCCCAGAAGTGGGCGGCGCTCCCGGGGTGGGCGTGGCCTCCCGCGAGGTTTGGGGGCGTGGGCGGGGCCCCAGTGAGGCCCGGGAGCGGGCGTGGCCCCCCAACGACACCCAGGAGTGGGCGGGGCCTACCGGCGAGGTTTGGGGGGAGTAGGCGGGGCCCCAGTGAGGCCCGGGAGTGGGCGTGGCCTCCCAACGACACCCAGGAGTGGGCGTGGCCTCCCAGCCCGGTCCGAGAGTGGGCGGGGCCTCCCAGTGGGATCCGGGTGCGGGCGCGCGGGGCGTCCAAGAGGGGCCCGGGAGTGGGCAGTGTCCCAGCAGCGTTTAGGGAGCGGGCTGGGCCCCTTCCCCACTATCCCCACCAATCCCCCGCTTGGGTCCGGGAGGGTGCAGGGCCTCCCGGCGGGGTCCGGGAGTGGGCGGGGCTATGCTGAGCCTGGAGGGGCACCCTCGGGGTCCGGAGCGGGCGGGGACGCCTGCTCGGGACCCCCCCCCCCCCCAATTTGTGCCCAGAGTCCTCGCCCTGACCCCGGGCTCACCCCCCGCGGCCGCCTCCTGGAGGGGGACACCCAGAGGCCGAGCAGCACGGGGACAGCACCTGTCCGGCCACTGCTGGCCCGCCACGGGCGGTTCGGGTGCCGGTCCCCAGCCCAGACCCTCCGGCCCCCCGGATCCGGGAGAGGCAGAGCAGAGACGCGGGTCGATCCCAGAGACATGGATCCGCACAGAGACATAGACGATCCCGGAGACAAGGATCACGGCGCGGGGCCGGCGCTGGGGTCAGCAGATCCGAGCCCGGGTCCATCTCCCGCGACCCATTGCGGCCCCCTGAGCCCCTCGGCACCCCTCAAGGTCCCCTGAGCCCTCCCCCAGCCCCCGGAGTGATCCCGGAGGGCAGAGCCAGGAGCGAGCGCTGAGCACGGCCCGGTGGGGCCCCAAAACGAAACCAAAACCAAATGGGGAGCGGAGCGTGTCCAGGCGGGAACTGCATCGAGCCCCGACTCCGCACCCGGCTCTGAACTCCGGGGTCGTGTCCGGACACGGGTGTCTCTTGTCACCGGGACGGTGGCAAAGGCTTCCGGTCCCCAGTCCTACCCCAAGCCCGGTTCTAGACGCCCCCCTGGGTTCCGGCGCCCCTCCTAGCTCCCAGCACCCCGTGGGGGTCTTGGCGCCCCCTCGTGGGTCCTGGTGCCCATTTCCCGGGTCCTGGTCCCCCTCCTCGGTCGCGGCGCCCCTCCCGGGTCCCAGCAGTCCTGGTGGGTCCCAGCGCCCCTCCTAGATCTCGGCACCCCTCGGGGGTCCTGGCGCCCCTCCAGAGTCCCGCACCCCTCCCGGGTCCTGATGCCCCCTCCCGGGTCCCGGTGCCCCTTTCCCGAGTCCCAGCCCCCCTCCTCGGTGCCAGCGCCCCTCGTGGGTCCCAGCACCCCCTCCCGGGTCCCAGCACTCCTGGGGGGTCCCAGCGCCCCTCCTAGATCTCGGCACCCCCGGGGGTCCTGGCGCCCCTCCAGAGTCCCGCACCCCTCCCGGGTCCTGATGCCCCCTCCCGGGTCCCGGTGCCCCTTTCCCGAGTCCCAGCCCCCCTCCTCGGTGCCAGCGCCCCTCGTGGGTCCCAGCACCCCCTCCCGGGTCCCAGCACTCCTGGGGGGTCCCAGCGCCCCTCCTAGATCTCGGCACCCCCGGGGGTCCTGGCGCCCCTCCAGAGTCCCGCACCCTCCCGGGTCCTGATGCCCCTCCCGGGTCCCAGCACTCCTGGGGGGTCCCAGCGCCCCTCCTAGATCTCGGCACCCCCCGGGGGTCCTGGCGCCCCTCCAGAGCCCCGCACCCTCCCGGGTCCCGGCCCCCTCCCGGGCTGACCTTGTAGCGGTCCAGGTGCCGCGGGTGCGGGAAGTGCAGCGTGGCGATGAGCACCCGCACGCAGGGGCTGCGCAGGCCGGCGCGGAAGAGGCGCTCGGCCAGCATCCCCGCCACGAAGTTCTTGCCGGTGCCCGAGCCGCCGTGGAAGGACAGTGCCAGGGCCCGCCGGGGCCGCGGCTGCGCCAGGTGCCGCCGCACCGCCCTGGGCACCAGCTCCCGCGCCAGGTGCTGCCCGTGCAGCCGCAGCCTCAGGTCGGCCTCCAGGCCTGCGACGAGGGGGGCGGCCGTGGGAGGGTCTTCCCGGCCCTCGGGGCGGGCGTGACCACCCCACCCCACCCCACCCCACCCCTGGGCAGGGTCGCACCGGAGAGGTCATTGATGTGGTCGCCGTCGCCCTCCAGGAAACGGTGATACCAAGTCGCCAGGACGTCCAGGTACTGCTGGCCCGGCAGCGGGAGGCTCCAGCCTGCGGGAGGGCGCCGTGAGCCTGGGGGGCGGGGCGGGGGCAGAGACCCCAGACCACGCAAGCCGCTGGGACAGTTCCTCTGCCTGTCGTCACCCGGGCACGGGAAGTGGCACCTCCCGGGAGGAAGCAGCCGGCGGCCCTGGGTCCCAGCAGGGGCAGCGGGCAGCCCCTCAAAGCCCTGCCCCCCCAGTCCAGCAGAGGCTGACCACAGCCAGCAAGTCGCCAAGTGGACTCTGCAAACAAAAACGCTGTCCCGGGAGCCGGGATGAGCTCGGGACGGGACAGTTCCGGCCCCCACCCCAACGCGGGGGGCATCCGGAGTCCGGCCTGCACCCGCTTGAGACGGGCAGCGGTGGGGGGAGGGGAGCTGACCCCACCCCGCGGCCGGCCTTACCCGCGTCCTCCTCGCAGTCCTCCGGCCACACGTGGCAGCTGAGGAGCGTCCAGTAGCGGCGACAGAGCGCGGCGGCCTCCCGCAGCCGCTCCTGCATGTCGGGCCAGCGGCGCCCGGCTCCGCCCGCGCCCGGCTCCTCGGCGTCCGCACCCGCCGCTCCCGGCAGCAGCAGCAGCAGCAGCAGGAGGCAGAGCCCGAGCGGGCACCGCGGGCCGCGGGCCATGGCCAGCGCGCCCGGGTCCGTCCGGCGCCGCCGCCGCCCGCCTGGCACTTCCCGGGCCCCGTGAGTCCCGGGAACCCGGGCGGTGGGCGTGGCCCAGTCGGTGGGCGTGGCCTGCCGGCGGCCTTTTCAAGCGGGCGGCGATGGGCGTGGCCTAGAGGTGGGTGTGGCCCGGTGGGCGGGTCTTCTCTGGCCCGTGAGCGTATCCTGGCCCTCAAGCCGGCGGCGCCGGGCGTGGCCTGGGAGCGGCGGTGGGCGTGGCCGCGCTCCGAGGTGGGCGTGGCCCGGAAGGCTGGCGGCTCTCGGCGGTGGGCGTGGCCTCTAGACTTCCGGCGCTTCTGGGCGCGCCGTTCCCGGGCGCAGGACCCGGTTCCCGCGAGTGCCCGGAACCTTAGCCTGGGTGCAGCGGCGAGGCCAGGGTGGACTGTTTGGGGGGTGATGAAGTCCGGCCTGGGCACAGCCGCTGCCAGGTCCCCCCATGGCTCTGGAGATGCCCAGTAAGGGTCCCCGCGCCTGCAGGCCAACTTGTGGTGGGGGGGGTCGCCGTGGACTTCCCGGAGGAGACAGCAGGCGCTGCAGCGGCCACCGACCACCCCCTCCAGGGCCCTGGCCGCCGCCCCCACGCCCCAGAATTGGGCTCCCCCCACATCCTGCGCTGGGGAGGGGGCTCCTAGGAAGCCGGGAGGTTCTTGGGCAAAGCTTGATTTAGGACATTTACCCCCCTCCCCCGCCTCTCCCCAGGAGTAGGGGTCCGCCAAAGTGAGGCCCACGCAGAAACGAGGACCCCCCAATAGTTTTCAGACAAGTTTGAGGGTTCATTCCCCGAGGCTGGGGGTCTGCGGGGGCGGAGGAGCAGCGAGAGCTCAAGGACGGTGGGGCCATCTAGAGGCCGGACTGAGAACTACAGGGCGCTCGGATCTTCCTCAATTGGGGTGACCCCGGGAACTGCCACAAATACAGAATCTCGGGCTGGAGTGATGATAGCACAGCGGGGAGGACGTTTGCCCAGCATCCCATATGGTCCTCCAAGCACCAGGAGTAACCCCTGAGCATCACTGGGTGTGATCCAAAAAGCAAAAAAAAATACAGAATCTCAGACACTTGGGGCTGGAGCAATAGCACAGCGGGTAGGGTGTAGGGCGTTTGCCTTGCACACAGCCGACGCGGGTTCGATCCCCAGCATCCCATAGGGTCCCCCGAGTACCGCCAGGAGTGATTCCTGAGCGCAGAGCCAGGAGGAACCCCTGTGCATTGCCGGGTGTGACCCAAAAAGAAAAAAAAAAGGAGGCTGGGGTTGGGGGGTTAGGTGTTGGGGGATGGTGGACGGATGGGTGCTGGATCATTGTATGACTGAAACTCAATTATGAGCAGTTTTGTAATGGTCTATCTCACGGATATTCAGTTAATTTTTTTTAAAAATTGAAATAAAGTAATTCAATCAGCATAATCAATGGCAGAATAAAACGCAGTACTGCTACATTTAAAAAAAAAAAAAGCACGTTTTGTAGGAAGTGGGCACACGCCTGCCCAGAACCCAACCTCCCCAGCGACTTTCCTGGACCCTGCTGGGCATGAAGCCTTTATGTCCACATGGAACTGGCACATAAAAAAAAAACTGCAAAGAAGGAAAAGTTCCAGGACTCACCTAAGATACACCCACTCCCTGGCCCCCATTCCTTCTTCAACTCGAAGCCTGCCCTCAGTTCTCTGCACGGTCATCAATTGACACAGTTCCAGGCCTCTGGTGAGCAAAACCAGCTCTCTTCTACCGAAAGAACAGACCCTTTGAGGAAAAGGATGTTCACGATTGCAGCAGGGCCTCTGGCTCCCAGTACCAGGCCCAGAGGCTTAGCAGAGACCAAGGTCCAGGGGTTGGAGCGATAGTACAGTGAGTAGGGCATTTGCTTTGCACGCAACTGACCCGGGTTTGATCCCCAGAGTATCATATGGTCCCCCATGCACCACCAGGAGTGATTCCTGAGTGCAGAGCCAGGAGTAACCCCTGTGCATTTCCAGGTGTGACCCAAGCCCCCCCCCAAAAAAAAAAGACCAAGCACCTGCCTGTTTGTGTGGCTGAAAGTACCCACAGCTCTGGCCTGGTTGTTGGTGAGAGTCGGTGCCCAGGAGCAGTAGGGTCTCAGCTCACCAATGGCACACAATTGGTGTGGAGACTCTTAACCCCTGGGATTTTGTGAGAACCTCATTTGTCCAACCACGCTGAAGCTAGGGGGGAACCACTATTCTCATCTACAAAATGCAAGGAGCAAAAAAAAAAAAAATTTTTTTTTTTTTTTGCTCGAGCACCCGGCAAGCTACCGAGAGTATTCGATATGCCAGACACAGTAACAACAAAGTCTCCAATGGAGACGTTACTGGGCCCGCTCGAGCAAATCGATGATCAACGGGAGGGCCTTTACTTTACTTTTTACTTTTTGCTTTTTGGGTCACACCCGGCGATGCACAGGGGTTACTGGCTCTGCACTCAGGATTTACTCCTGGCAGTGCTCAGGGGACCATATGGGATGCTGGGAATTGAATCCAGGTCGGCCGCGTGCAAGGCCAATGCCCTACCCGCTGTGCTATCTCTCCAGCCCCTAAAAATCTCACTTTTGTGTGCAAATAATAATCTGCTGTGTGGAACTTCAGGCCCCAGCTCCCACTAGTACTTAAGGGCTAATGTCCAAACCTGACACGAGGAAAATGCAGCAGTTCTAGGCAGCTTTTGGCAGAGGTGTCTGTGCTCAGGGCTTGACTCCTGGCTCTGTGCTCAGGAATCACTATCACTCCTGGCAGGACTCGGAGGACCCTGTTGGTGCCAGGGATTGATCCTGGGTCAGTCACCTTTCTCAATGGACTCTCTAGTCTCAGTACCACTGTTTTTTCTTTTTGGGTCACACCTGGCGATGCTCAGGGGTTACACCTGGCTTTGCACTCAGGAATCACTCCTGGCGGTGCTGGGGGGATCATATGGGATGCTGGGAATCGAACCTGGGTCGGCTGCGTGCAAGGCAAACGCCCTACCCACTGTGTCACTGCTCCATGCCCCCCATTTATTTTTTTTGGGGGGGTGGGGAGCAGCATACCTGGAGATGCTTAGAAGCTACTTCTGGCTTTGCACTCAGGAATCACTCCTGGCAGTGCTTGGGGGATCATATATGATTCCAGGGATCAAACCTGGGTTGGCTACAAGTGCCCTAGTCTCTGTACTATCTCTGCAATGCCCTCTCCTCCCCCACCAGAAAAAGGACTTAAGAACTCTGCCTAAGGGCTGGAATCCCAGTATCCCATACTGGTCCCCCAGCAATTCCTGAACACATGCCAGCCAGGAGTATGAACACTTGTCAGGTTGGCCCCAAATCAGCACCCTGCGTGGTTGTCTGGCTGAGGGTTAGGATGCCAGGTTTTAAGAGTTAAAAATTGAGTTTTCTTGGGGTCAGACATATAGTATAGTGGGTAAAGCACTTACCTTGCATGTACCTTTGGTTGCCGGAACCCATATGTTCCCGAACCCGTCCATATATGATCCCTGAGTATACATCAGGGATCAAGTAAATCCTGAGCATAGCAGGGTGTGGCCCAAAATTTAAAAATAAATCAGGGTGTCAAGAATCACCAAGGAAGGCTGTAGCAATAGTACAGTGGGGAGGGCGTTTGCCTTGCACGCAGCAGACCTGGGTTCGATTCCCGGAATCCCATATGGTCCCCCAAGCAGCACCAGGAGTAATTCCTGAGTGCATAAACCAAGAGTATTCCCTGTGCATCACTGGGTGTGACCCAAAAAGAAAAAATCACCAAGGATTGGGCCCAGGTGATACAGCACAGTAGAGAGGGTGGTCTGTCTTGCTCGTGGCCAACCCAGGTCCAATTCGCGGTATCTCAGGATCCCCCAAGCACTGCCAGGAGTAATTCCTGAGTGCAGAGCCAGGAGTAACCCCTGAGCATCATCAGTATGACACCCCACCCCCCCAAAAAAAATCCAAAGAACCACCAGTGGCCAACTCTGCCTGGACTCAATGGCACTGCACCACATCCTCTAATTTGTTTCCGCTTAAGAGGGTGCAGGGCGAGGTCCTGACTAGAAACACAAAAGCTCCTAAGGATGAGCCTGTGGAAAACGGTTCACAGCCTCAACCTGGGCCTTCTGAAAGCAGAGAGGTCTAATCCCTCTCACACCGTAAGCCCCCCTGGGAGGTATTCTGTCCCCTCACCAACATCTAGAAATGTGGGGAGGCCCCTGCAAAGGAGAGAAGAGAGAAAAAGATGCTACATCAAAGAAACTTTGGTACATGTACAGAATGAAATACTATGTAGCTGTCAGAAAAGATGAAGTAACGAAATTTCCATACAAGTGGTACTACATGGAAAGTATCATGCTATGCAAAATGAGACATAGAAAGACTGCATTCATCTGGGGAACATAAAGTAACAAAATAGGAGACTAACACCCAAGAATGGCTGAGATTAGTACCAGGAATTTTACTCCATGGCTTGGAGGCCAGCCACACATGCTAGGGGAAAAGGGAGCTCAGATCGAGAAGGGAGCACCAAGTAAAGGGTGTTGGGAGGATCCTCCCAGGGTGGGAGAAGCATGCTGAAAGTAGACTCTAGACCGAACATGATTGCCACTCGATGCCTCTTCTGCAGGCCACAGCACCCAAAAGGAGAGAGAGAACAAAAGGGAGTGCCCTGCCACAGAGGCAGGGTGGGATGGGGGGATGGGGGGTCGGAGGGATGCTGGGATCCCTCCCGTGGTGGTGAGAAATGGGCACTGGTGGAGGGATGGGTACTCGATCATTGTATAATTGAAACCCAAGCACGAAAATCTGTAAGTCTACAACTGTACCTCATGGTGTTTCACTAATTAAAAAAAAAAAGATGCTACATCAACCCTTATTAAAATCTTTATTCATTTTTTCTTCCAGGCTCGAAACCTGGAGAAGGTATCAGAAACGCGCCTCTGCCGGTAAGGATGTCTCCCCCAGCACAGCCCCCTTCAGCAAATAAATTAGCTTCCTAGTAAGTCACTCCTTGTTCCCCCACCCCAAAGTCTGCATTCGAGGGTAACCTCTTGCTCCCCTCCCACAGAAACCGCCACCAGAGCAGCCGCCCTACCTGGCACCACACAGCGGGAGGCCCTCCAAAAGCCAAGTCTCAGGGTGTCCTTGATGTGGCACTGGCTGGCCCCCCAGGGGCGCTGACCCAGCAACGGCATGGCCCCGCTTCCCAGTCGACCCGGGTTGGCGCGCCAGTGTAGGACCCTATATGCAGTCTTGTGTCACATCCTCTGGTCTCTGCCACTGCCTCCCTGTGCCGGGAGAGGAGAGACGGGAGGAAGATGGCGGATGGGCACAGAAGGCTAAACGTATCCTTTAGTTGGTTTGGTGTCACACCAGGCAGTGCTCGGGACTTGGCATCGTGGCCAGGGATTACTCATCACTCCTAGTGGTGCTCGGGGACCTTGGGTGGCGCCGGGGATCAAACTAGCATGGTCTGCATGCTAGGCAAATGCCGTAACCCCTGCGGCATCTCTCCAGCCCTAATTTTTTTTTTAAAGTGAGATTGGAGAGATGTCAACGGACCAGAGAGCAATCTTTGCAGGCACGAGGCCTGGCTTTCACCCGAGCACTACAGAGGGTCCCATAGCACCACCAGGAGCGACCCTGGAGCACAGAGCTGGTAATAGCCCCCTGAGCACCATCTCGTGTGCCCTCAAAACCAAAAATCAAGAGAAAATGGGTTCTCTGCAAGGACGCACAATGCCTTCAGGTGACACTGAAAATCTGCCATGTACAGGGTTCATCTTTCCCAAAATAACATGCAATAATTTGACCTGAATTCTTTCGTTCCCCCCTTAAATTTCATTGGGCGTTATTAATCCTGAGTGCAAACAGGGATAAGTGCCTTATTAAGATAGTATCGAATATATAATATTCGGAGCAAATCAGATCCTGTCTCTGTGTTTCTGCACAAAAAAAACCCAAAATATTTACAACTCACAAGATAGCTTATTTTGGAGAGCAATTTTAGAACAAATCCTAATTCCCTCCCTTCCTCACTCCAACTTGGAAACAGACCGAGCTGAGGGGTGGGAACAGGAGAAAAAAAAATGGGGATGGTTCTGATTTTCCTGGTTTGGTATTCAAGTGGATTCCCTTCCCCACCTCCGGCTGTCAGCCTGGCATGCTGACCACTGTGCAGGCCCCTGGACTCAGCGAATGGGACTCTCTTGCTTTTCTAAACCAGAACGTCATGCCTGGGACTTTGCAAGCCACAACAGCTGGTTGTGTCCCGAGATTCTGGACATAGAATGCAAGTTCAATATGCTCCAATCAAACTTGGAATACTCCACTCCACTCTCACGGAGCCCTAACTTCAACCATGACCAGCTGAACAGTAAGACCCTAAGTTTGAAATTCAGACCCAAGTCAAACTTCACCTTTCCTGACGCGTTTGGGAAGTAGGCAAGATCTGTCAGGGCACTTCCTCTCCTGCGCTTCTCTGGGCAAACGTCTTGTGCCAACCCGAGGCATCAGGCCCCAGGAACATTTCTCACTGGCTGACCAGTGAGAAATGCCGACCCGGGCCGACCCCGGTTCGATTCCTCCGCCCCTCTCGAAGAGCCCACTACCGAGAGTATCTCGCCTGCAGGGCAAAGTCTGGCAAGCTACCTGTGACGTATTTGATATGCCAAACACAGTTAACAACAAGTCTCACAATTTGTTGTGAGATGTTACTGGTGCCCGCTCAAGCAAATCGATGAACAACGGGAGGACAGTGCTAGAGCTGTGGCACCCACCACACACACACACACACACACACACACACACACACACACACACACGCTGTGACCCAGTGGTTCCTCTAAGTGGAACCAACACACACACATATGCTGTGACCCAGTTCCTCTAGCTGAGTGGAACCCGGCACTGCATTCCGCCTGAAGCTCTCACTGACACGGGACACAGCTGTTCTGGCAACTGCTTCCTGCTGCCACATGTGATTTTTGGGGCCACGCTCAGTGGTGCCTACAGCTCTGGGGTCACGCTCTGGCTGTGCTCAGACCCTGTGGCTCTGGGAACTTAACCCAGGTCGCCCACATGCCAAGCCTGAACACAGCCTTTAGAGCCGTCTCCCGGGACCTTCCGCCAAGATCTGTCTTCTGAAAGTCAACCTCTTTTTTTCAATAACCCACAGTTCTTGGGTGGGTCTCAAAAGTACGAATCCTAATTTCACACACACCATTTTGTCTTTGCCACGATCTTTCAAGGCGAGAAAATCAGGGTGAAAACTTGGAACCAATTTTGAAAGGGCAGTTGGCATCAAATGCACCCAACCCCTTCAATTCAGTATCTCCGTGTGACCAAAGACCAGGGGGCATAGCGGGCCATCAGGAGAGGGAGTGACAGCGAGACTGCCCTAACTAGGGGGCCAGCTCCTCCACCAGACACGGGAGTGGGCCCGTGTTTGCACAGCGCGGATCAGAGATGGTAGAAAGAGACACAGAATGTTCTACAGATGGGCTCAGGGTGCCACAGCAAACTGAATCAAGAGTTGAGGGGTTGACAAAAATCCAACAGCCCCCGGCTGCTCCTGGCCACCTCCCTCCTTTTAAGGCTCAGAGACTCCATAGCTTTGTTTCTTCTTGGCTTCCGCAGGGCACGTTCCCCAGCTAAGATCCAGCCACCAGCAAGCCGGGCCCCGTCACCTGTCGGAGCCGGCTGGCGTTTCCCACGAGAAAGGCACACCCGGGACGGCCATCTCTGGAGACGGCAGCGCCAGGGAGTCAGGGCACGTGGCCAAAAGGCAGAGGAGGTGGCGGAGAGGCGCGGCGGCGGGCGCGGGAACCGGCTCCTCTGAGGACTGGCCGTCGCGTGCTCGGGCATTTCCGTAAGCGTCAGGGCAGGGCCTGAGACAGCTGTTCGGTTCACGCGGCCCCACGCGGGCGCATCCCCTCTGCTCCCACCGCGTGCGGGTCGAGGTGGCAGAGCCCGTTTCTCACCAACCCGCCTGTCCCTGGTGCTGAGAACATCACGGCACCCCAAGTCACAGAGAAGCCGAATGTATTTCCTGCCCCGGTCCTTCGAGTCTACGCAAGCCCTCTCCCTCCCCGATGCCAAGTGTCACCTGTCCCGCGCCTCAGGCTGACTAGTCTCTGTGAAGGACTTAAGAGACTGCAGAAGATTCCCAGGAAATCCACAGGCGTGGAGAAAGGTCGGGAAGGCGGAACTCCAGTCCCAGCCGGAGCACGGCCCAGGCCACCCCTCAGTTTGTCCTTTGGCATGACCCTCTGTGAGGTCCGTTCCGGAAGGTGCCCGGGCCGAGGGGACAGGCGTATCAGCAGGAACGCTCCCATCGTCTGCGATGCAGAGTCTCTGCTTGAGCTTCTGCAATAGCAAACACCCGAGAAACGCCGGGCCCCGTCCCCATCCCGTCCCTCGAGCTCACGGCAGCCGGCTGCTGTCCCGGGCAGCTGGGGCGGGGATTGTGCTGTTTCTTTCCCTGGGAAATCAGTGCCGCCGGCATGCGTGGCAGCTACAAGTGTGACAGTGGCATCCTGTCCTCCACCAGCACTGTGTCCAGCCCGAACTGGTCGGTGCACTGCTTTACGGTGGCCAGTACGCTCCGCAGCCGCTGCTCCAAGGCGTCCAGGTGAGCATCCGAGAGCACGGGGGAGATGGGGTCGTGGGCCATGGCGGACTTGAAGGCTGTCTTCAGCACCCCGTTCTTCAAGTAGTTGAGGCGGTTCCAAGTGGAGACCCGGATGCTGGAAGGCAGAGTGGCATGGCACAGTTAGTACTTGCCAAAGTGCAGGAGTGATTTGGGGGGCCCGGGGACGTGCTCAGTGGGAGAGCGCCTGCCTGGGACTCGGGAGGCCCCAAGTTCAAGGCCTGGCCCGCAAGGCAAGGGTGGAGCTCCTGGCCCAACCTCCACAAGCAGAAAGGAGGGGACGAGACAGAATTGTGCAAAACACTTGGCTGGAATATATGCATGCATGCGTGTGTGGTGTGTGGGGGGCACAGAGTGAGCCCTGCATACCACTAGGTGTGTCCTCCACACCAAAAAGACTTAGCTCTATGCTAACAAGAGTTATCCTGGGGGTTGGAGTGATAGCACGGCGGGTAAGGCATTTGCCTTGCAAGTGGCCGACCCGGGTTTGATCCCCAGCATCCCATATGTTCCCCTGAGCACCGCCAGGGGAGATTCCTGAGTGCAAAGCCAGGAGGAACCCCTGAGCATCACCGGGTGTGACCCAAAAAGCCAAAAAAAAAAAGTCATCCTGAGCTGTGGGTGATCTCATTTCCTTCTATATTTGTTTTTTTTTTTTTTTTTTGGTCACACCTGGCAATGCTCGGCAAGTTCCTCCTGGCTCTGCAGTCAGGAATTACTTCTGGCAGTGCTTGGAATACCATATGGGATGCCGGGGATTGAACTCAGGTCAGTCGCGTGCAAGGCAAGCCTCCTCCCCGCTGTGCTATCACTCTGGTGCCTCTTTATAATAAAGACTTAACCCAATAACCAAATGCCTATGGAAAAAGTTATTTTTGTATGTTTCGCCTACATGTGAATAAGCATCACTGCCATTCAGAGAACTCGAAACAGTTTTGGAACTTTGGGTTGCCTGCTTCTGCATCACTGCTCGGGCAACAGGAAGCACTCCAGGCTGGTGCTGCCCGAGCCCAGAGGCTGGTGGGGGGGGGGGGGGTCTGGGGGGGTGCCCAGACATCCGGCGAGTGTGACTTACATGCAGCACTGATAGAGAGGGGCGAGGATGCTTCTCTCATCCAGCGCGGGGTTCCCGAAGCTGAAAGGAGATGAGAGGGATGGAATGAGATGCAGACACCAGCCCCCCTCTGCATCAAAGTCACGGCACGTGCTCCAAGAACCCAGATGTGCGCCTGGATGATCCTCTGTGAGAAAGGAAGAGGGCGCCGGGGCCAGCATGTTCCTTATCGGGACCTTCCTCCTGATCCCGGGGGCGCTGACACAGAACCCCGTCTGAAGACTCTGGGATGGCAGGCGACCAAGAATGCTGCGAGTGTCAGGTTCCCGCAGACAAGCAGACGGCCAGCACTGCTCTGCTCGACTGTCACAAGGAAAATACCCTCATGCCCCAGCCCCTAGGAGGAAGCTCTGGACCGAAACAACGGCTCCGAGAGGCCGAGCACGCGGGCTCCCAGAGGACGAAGTCCAGTGTCAGATCAGATTCTGGACATGACAGCGGGTGGAGGCTACTGCATAGCTGCAGGCCCAGACGCGAGTAACGGTGACCGTACAACTGAAAGGAGAAGGCTCCGGCTCACACGCGACACTGATCAGAAACATAGGCAGGGAGGAGCCTCCGCTGGCATCTGGTTCCAGACCCAGTACCACCTTTGTGGAAGATGGCAGGGACACGACTGTTCACCCAGCCTCCCGGGCGGGGGACACGCCTCTCCTACCTCTCGGCTTACTCTATGCCCCTCAAGGGTGACAGCTGGGGCTTGAGCCCAGGGAAGTTCGCTACTCAGCACACACACCCGCCCTGTGCGGGCAGGACTGAGCATGCACGCTGCAGGGTGCCAGCAGGAACGTAACATGCTCTTCCCTCTTCGAGAGCCTGGCCCGGAAGGACACGGTTCTTTCCACGTGATCAATAACCATCTGCTCTTCTTCCCAGGAGAGCCAAAGTCTAGGCCTAGGAAAGTCGTCCCAAATCCTCCCAATCCATCCATTTTCCCACTGGATAAGCCTGTATGGAGAGGACAGATGTACTGACTTTCCTTTTCTTTTTCTTTTTTAATATTTTTAATGAATCACATTTAGATGCAGTTACAGACTTACAAACTTTCATGATTACGTTTCAGTCATACAATGATCGAGGACCCATCCCTCCACCGGTGCCCATTCTCCACCACCAATGATCCCAGTAACTCTCCCGCCACCCCATCCCATCCCCCCCACCCCGCCTCTGTGGCAGGCACATTCCCTCTTACTCTCCCTTTGGGTGTTACGGTTCGCAATATGGGTACTAAGTGGTCATCATGTTCGGTCCAGAGTCTACTTTCAGCATGCAGCCCCCATCCCAAACGAGTCCTTCAAGCAGCCTTTACTCGGTGCTGCCCTCCCTTTTTTAGAATGACTCTAGTCTTGAAGGTACACATTTCTCAAGAAACTGCACCACAGTCAGAAGGAGACCGTGAGGGGGGACAGAGAGAGACGTCGGAGCTCTGTGGCCACTGTCTGGCAGGCGTGGGGGTCCGGACCCACCTTTTGGCATTGTCCAGCAGGATGAGCATGCTGGCGCCCTCGTCGTCCTGGAAACTCTCGTAGTGATGGCGGTCGGCATTGCCGATCAGGTAGTCGAAGACGGCCGTGTCGATGATGTCCAGGAGGCGCGGGCCTGAGTCGTAGGGGGAGGTCTTCTTCACCGCATCACAGTAGCTCTCGTCGTATTCCCACCTGGAGGTGACAAGGAGCCCCGACGTCGCCACGGCACGTGAAGGCCTGGCGGGGTCCCCACCCCTCCACAGTCCCCGAGCCCAGCACTTGCCTGGCCAGCTTGCCCTCTCGGTAGGTCCGACCCCAGGGGTGCCGGTGCTTCTGCAGGGGCCACACGTCGGGGAGCCAGAGCGTGACGGAGCCCTCCATGGTGTCACCGTCTGCGCAGGCTGGCTCAGTCTCGCGGCAGTAGTAGCACTTCCCGTAGAAGCAGGTGTTGTTCCCTAAGGGAGCGGAAGGAGCTTAGGGAGGGACCGCGTGCTCCCCACAGCACGGAAAAGAAGGGCTCATCGCCCACACACCAGCACTCCACACTGAGAACACGGGTTCGGATCCTGGGTCTGTGGCTGGCCTCCCTGTCCCTGGGCTGAGTACAGCCACTGTGGCCCAGAGTAAAATGACAATTTTTTTCTTTGTTTTGGCTTTTTAGGTCTCACCCGGAGATGCTCAAGGCTGACTCTTGGCTGTGCACTCAGAAATCACTCCTGGCGGTGCTCAGGGAACCCCATGGGATATTGGGGATCGAACCCGGTCGGTCACATGGAAGGCAAATGCCCTCCCTGCTGTACTACCATTCCAGTCTGAAACAATAATTTCTGATATTTCTGATGGGATCAAGTCAAATTAGTTTTTATAGCATAAACATCACAAATGTGGAATGCCTCTGAATTGATTGAAAATCTTTATCTAGCAAAGTTTCAAACAGTTCTGTAGCTGGTAGATTGTGGATTGGTTTCTGTTTAGTGTGTGAAGTTAAAAATACTAAAAAGGAGAGACGGGGCTGGAGCAATACCACAGTGGGGAGGGTGTTTGCCTTGTACGCGGCCGACTCGGGTTCAATCCCCAGCATCCCATATGATTCCCCGAGCACTGCCAGGAATAATTCCTGAGTGCATGAGCCAGGAGTAACACCTGTGCATTGCTGGGTATAACCCAAAAAGAAAAAAAAAAAAGAAAAAGAAAAAGAAAGGAGAGATGCCTCCAGACCCTGTGCCAGGCTGAGTCTTATCCCAAGCACCTCGGAGCAGGGTAGGCGAGTCCACCACCCGCCCAAACAGAGCCCCAGCAGTGAAAACCTCCAGAACCCCATCAACACCATGCTTATGGCCAATCTCCACGGGATCAGGACGAGCCTCATCCATGAATGAATCTGTTGAAAAACTTAAGTATGTGGGTGACCAAACTCTCCAGGCTCTCACAGAGTCGGGGATGGGCAACCTCCCCTCATCCCCCTGTTCTTCCAGGAGCCTGGCAGTCATGCCCAGGAACTGCCTCTGGTGCCACATACGCTCATTAACCGGCCGTGATCCAGAGACCAAGCTGCAGAGATGGTCTGGACACCAAAGTCACCATCCAGTTAAAATTTAACTCTGGCATATCATCCTGTGTAAAAAAAAAAAAAAAAAAAAAAAAAAAAAAAAAAAAATTCCGCTTTTTGGGTCATACCCAGAGATGCACAGAAGTAAGTTACTCCTGGCTAATGCACTCAGGAACTACTCCTGGCAGTGCTTCAGGGACCCTATGCTGGGAATGCTGGGAATCAAACCCGGGTCAGCCGCGTGCAAGGCAAGTGCCCTCCCCGCTGTGCTACCGCTCCAGCACTGTAAAGTTTTAGAATCCCTTGAACACAAATCTTGCTTGTCTTGATGCTTCTTTGATCGCCTGTTTCCACTCCAGAGAAGACTGTTTTCTTGTGAACACACTTCTCCCTCGCTCCCCTCACATCTTTCTAAAGTTTCAATGAAAACTATAAATTTAAGGGCTGGAGCAATAGCACAGCGAGTAGGGCGTTTGCCTTGCACGTGGCTGACCCAGGTTCAATTCCCAGCATCCCATATGGTCCCCTGAGCACCGCCAGGGGTAATTCCTGAGCACAGAGCCAGGAGTAGCCCTGTGCATCGCCGGGTGTGACCCAAAAAGAAAAAAAAAACTATAAATTAAAAAATATATATATTTTAAAAATATATAAATACACACACACACACACACACACACACACACACACACACTAAAAAGGCTAGAGAGGGTCAGAAAGATAGCACAAGGGTGAAGGCGCTTGCCTTGCAAAGTGACTGGCTCCAGTTCAATCCCCAGCACAGCTTACGTGCTCAAACCTCAAACCCCGCCAGGATTAAGCGCTGAGCACAGCTAGGTGTGGCCCCAAAACCAAAAAAAAAAAAAAAAAAAAAAAAAAAAAAAAAATCTGCAAAAACGGGGAAAGGGGTCAGGGCTGATGCAGCATTCACGCTCCAATTGGCTGCAGCCGTTCTGGGAGTTCCTGGCCCTCGTGCCCGTGTTCCCATGCTCACTCTTAGCATTCTGCCCACAGCTGTGCTCTCTGCTGCCTGGGTTTGCCTGCCACTACAGACCTTGTCTGGCCTCTCCTTTGCCAAGAGAGTTAACCTTCTGTGGGGCTCAGGCGTGCAGGCACAAGGCTGCTCCCCATCATCCCCCGCCCTCCAGGAAAGCATGTCTGCCCAAGCATGAATGTGAACACTGCAGGGGCTGGAGCGATAGCACAGCAGGGAGGGCGTCTGTCTTGCACGCAGCCAACCTGGGTTCGATTCCCAGCATCCCATAGGGTCCCCTGAGCACCGCCAGGGGTAATTCTTGAGTGCAGAGGCAGAACAAACCCCTGTGCATTGCCGGGTGTGACCCAAAAAGAAAAAAAAAAACAGTGAACACTGCAAAGCAATGAGAACAGACATGAAACCAATCAGCACCACCGGGCGCTTCGGGGTATTTGTGAGAACCAGCAGAGCCCCGGTTTTCGTGGTTTATATTCCGAATGATGAAGCTGTCACGGGCCTTTAAATATTTAGCTTCACCTCATCTTCTATGTAAATCCATTCAGTCTGGCAGAGCAAGGTGAAGCTCATCTTGCAAGGTCTGTCTCAACAGCCGTACAGCCGCTCAGAGCGCAGTGTCACTATTAATGTCACAGGCTGAGGTGGAGGCCAGGCCCCTGGCGCCTCTGGACTGCTCCCCATTCTCACTGCTGCGCCCCCAGGAGCCCAGAAATGAGAGACTCAGTTCAGATTCCTTTTACCCGACAACGGGGGCCAGGGGAGCCCCAGTCAGCTCCAGACAGATTAGGGGGCAAACCCACGAGAAGGACCGCAGCCTGACAGGGGAGCTTGACGCTCTGACAGAGCTACGCCCAGTTATGCCTGTCTGTATTCACAGGAGCCAGTTTTCAAGAAGAGCACAGTGAAAAGTCACCCAGCTAATGACAGATGGAAGAGACTTCAGTCAAACTTTCATTTAAAAATTTGTTTCAGGGGCCGGAGCGATAGTACAGAGGGGAGGGTGTTTGCCTTGCTTGTGGCTGGCCCAGGTTCAATCCCCGGCATCCCATTTGGTCCCCTGAGGACCCAGGAGTAACCCCTGTGCATCACTGGGTGTGACCCAAAAACAAAACAAAATTCGTTTTAGGGGCTGGAGTGATAATACAGCAGGTAGGGCATTTGCTTTGGACCTGGGTTCAATTTCTGGCATTCTATGGAGTCCCCTGAGCACTATCAGGAGTAATTCCTGAGTGCAAAGACAGGAGGAACCCCTGCACATCGCTGGATATGACCAAAAAAAGAAAAGAAAAATTGTTTTATACCTATCAGAAGTAACCACTCAATCTCACAATCTCACAATCTCACTGGTGGTTCACTTACAGAGAAGCGCACAGCAGGGCCAATTTTAAATTTCTAACAAGAGAGTAAGCTAATGACCCAGATACACACTCCCTAGAATTAACTCCCCAAAATTAATTAATTAATTAATGACAGGGCCTGTCATTCCAGGCCACGTACCTTCAGAAGATTCGTTTTCCAAAGACTGTGAGACCAAGCGGGCTAAGGTGGTATTCCCAGAATTCTCCCATGCCTCAGAACCCCCCACTTGCTCAGTGATGCCCCGTTTCACCCAGTGACGGTCACTCCGCAGGTCCTTACCCACAGTCAGGAACGTGCTCAGGAGCTGCTCGGTGGCGACTGGCTTCACCTCTGTCCGGAGATCGACAAATCGGCCGACCACCAAGGGGGCACGGCGGAAACCCAGAATCCTGTTCGGAAGGTGGAAGAATGAAAGAGGAAAATCGTTAGGGAAGCTTTCTCACTAGTGCTCTTAAAAATTAATTTTTGTTCGTTTCTCTTCGGGCCACACCTGGCAGTGCTTAGGGCTTACACCTGGCTCTGCACTCAGGGATCAGTCCTGGCAGGCTTGAAGACCTGGTCCTCAAGAAGAGGGTGCTGGGGATTGAACATGGGTGGGTCGTGTGCAAGGCGAGTGCCCTGCCTGCTGTACTATCACTCTGGCCCCTGGGTGTTACTTTTAAACACAGTCAGATATTATTTTAGAGATCTATGGGTGAGTTAAATATGAACAGACACCATAATATGCATTTCAGCAGAGACAGAAAAGGCACTTGTTAATTCTAGGGAGTGTGTATCTGGGTCATTAGCTTACTCTCTTGTTAGAAATTTTTCATCACCAAAAATTCAACTTGAATAAGCCATTTGGAAAAAATCGAGCCTAAGCAAACACATAGGTCTAAAACTTCGTGTATAACAGCTCATGGTCTGGGGAGGATGGGTGGAGAAATGGTACAGCAGGTAGGGCACTTGGCTTGCCTGCAGCCAAACTGGACCCGGCACCCTGCATGGTCCTCGATGGCCCGTGTCAGGAGTGACCCCTGAGCACAGAGATGGGAATAAGTCCTGCATACCGCTCAGTGTGGCCCAAACTACAAGCAACAATGAAAAAGTCTTTCTCAGCTTTATTTATTTTTGGTTTGGGGGCCACACCCATCGATGCTCAGGGCTGATTCCTGGCTCTGCACTCAGGGATCCCCTCCTGGTGGGCGAGAAGGGGAGATGGACATCGCATGTGACACCGGGAATAGAATCTCAGGTCAGCCATGCACAAGGCCAGTGCCTTCCCCGCTGTGTGTCTCCCTGGCCCCACTTCTCGTTTCCTTCCGGACTCCTTTTCCAAAGACTATGAGCAAAGTGTCTGCAGGCTGATCAACAGGCACTGAAGACAAGAGTCAACTTCTCCAGTTCACTTCAGCGTCACAGCTACTGCTCTTCCAGGGACACATTTTGGAAGAAGATGTGTCACGCTATGCCTTTCTGGCCTAAGTCACTATTGCTGAAAACAAAATGACAGAAATCCTGCCAGGTCCAATTAGCAACCAAGTCAGTTAGGGGATGTGGGCTGAAATTCGACTTGTCATCCTGCCGTCTGATGTCACAGCATCTTCAAGCAGGATGCCACCAAAGGGTACCAGGAAGGACAAAATGACCTAGAGAGCCTGGACTGATGGTACTTCCCCGGGCATCCCAAGCCCCTCTAAGGTTCTGAGGCCCAAGTTCCCGGGGCCGCAACTTTGCAAAGGGTCTGCTGTCCTCTTCAAGGCCGTTTGAGAAGACCCCCAACAAATGTGCGCGACTGTGACTTCACATACCTGTCCAAATGGAAGGCCGCGACCTCGGCGTTGTGTCTGTCATAGCCCGCGTAAGGCTCCCCCTCTACCACATAGTCCCGGCTATACCTGCACAGGAAGTGGAAGCACAGAGGGGACGTGAACGACCTGGGGTGGTGGAGGCACCAGAGACAGGTAGGACCGCCCCACCCTGCTGTGTCAATGCTGAGAACCCCCATGGAGCTCCCCAGATCACGGGGGGGGGGGGGGGGGTGAGGGGAAGGAACTGGAAGGAGCCATGGGAAAGCCCCTTTTGAAGACAGCAGGTTCCAGGGGGGTTGGATCAAAAGCACAGCAGGTGGGTGTTTTTGCCTTGCATGTGGCCAATCCTGGTTCGATTCCCAGCATCCCCTAGGGTCCCCTGAGCACCGCCAGGAGTGATTCCTGCGTGCAGAGCCAGGAGGAACCACTGAGCATCGCCGGGTGGGACTCAAAAAGCAAAAAAAAAAAAAAAAAAACACAGCAAGTTCTTCACAAAATTAAAACACTCTCTCTTCTGGGAAAGAAACAGCTCAGAGGGCTGAAGTGCACCCATCACATGCAGGGGGCCTGGATTGGGCAGCTGGTACTATACAGTCCTCTGCCAAGAGCAACCCCAAACATGGAGCCCAGCGGCGTCCCTGAGCACCACTCAGCCTGTGGTTCCAAAGCTCCACAACAAAAAGATCTACTCTCCTCATCTGATCTACAGAGGTGCTCCCGGATATTTTGCCCAAGTGGGCTGGAAACCTCCACCTGCACTGAAGCCCACCTGTGAAGCTTCCAGCTGCTTCTACTCTCCAACTGCCCAAGCTGGGAAGCAACCACAACGTCCTCAGTAGGTGAACGTGTGAGCAAACTAGAGTCCGCCTGTAAAACGGACTATTGAAGCTCAGTGATGACAAAAAAAACAAAGCATCAACTCACAAAAAGCCACCGAGGAGCCCTCGGTGCGAGTCACCAAGAAACCAATCTGAGGACGACCTACTCTGCGACTCCAGCTAGCTGGGATTCCGAAACGTGGCAGAACACTGCAGACGTGTCCGGGGAGTCAGAGAGTGTGACAGGGAGGAGACTTGTTGCAATCTGATGCAACTGCGGTGGGGATCCTTGTCAATATGCATTTAGCAGAACCCACGGCGGGAACAATACAGAGCGAAGCCTTATGTCAACGGTGGACTTGAATCAATGTGTATCGACTCCTCCACCCGCACTACACAAACGGAAGATGCCAACAATGGGGAAGACGGAGGCAGTGGGAAGGGAGCAAACTCTCTGTACAACCCCCCTCGACTTTTCCTGGGAACCTCAGCCAGGACTCGAGGCTGCTGAGGAAAACAAAAGCAAAATCCATGTGCAGGCAGAGAATTTCAGTGCCCACCCCACCCACACGCCAATGCCACAGCACACCTGGCAGGCAGTGAGCCAGTCTTCCCTGCGGTTTCAGTGACTGACTGGTTATTTCCTAACCTGCTCATCTGGTCTAACATCTGGCACAGTACATATCTGACAACTGATTTTTTTTTTTTGGGGGGGGGGGTGGTCACACCCAGCAACGCTCAGAGGCTACTTTTGGCTCATGCACTCAGGAATGACTCCTGGATCTGCTCAGGGGACCCTATGGGATGCTGGGAATCGAACCCGGGTCAGCAAATGCAAAGGCAAATGCCCTACCCGCTGAGCTATCGCTCCAGCCCCACATCTCTGACAACAGAGGGGAAGGCGAGATCTAACTGACAGTTCAGTCTCATAAGGAACTGAAACGTGGTCGACATAAATTCCCTCCTGCCAGAGTCATAGAACATGACTACCCCCATTTTCCTTCCCCTAGAGAGAGAGAGCAGGGGAGGGCGCTGAGCCTCTGACAGAAACCCCACGCTTCATGCATCGAAGCTCCAAGATCCAAACTTACCGCTTTGGTTTAAAAACCACTTTCTGCCCCCCTTCAAGGATCAACAGGGCTTTCAGCTGTGTCCCTTTGTAGCCCACGTCGGCCTTAATGATTTTCTTGGTGGCCATGGCATGCATGATGGCCCCCAGCTCTGGCGTCTCCTCGGGGTACACCTCCCGGGGCACGACCCACTGGGCGGCGATCTCCCAGGGGGACTGTAAGGTGTGGTCCAGCTTGGGGGCCAGCTCCACCCGCAGGCCCGCCATCATCCGCTGGAAAGCCCTCTGGTCCTCCCGGTTGGCAGCCGACGCATCCAGGTTGTCGATCAGAAACACTTTGGTGAAGATGAAGATGACCAGGAGAATCGCCAAGAGCACGACACGCTGCTTGAGCTTCATGGTGGCCTCTGACCTTCCGTCCCGACCCGCTCTCTCGCTTGCCAAGGAGAGCAGGTCTGGCGGGGGTCAGCGAGGAGACGCCATCGTTCCCTGCAGGAGTCCCCTTCCGCCGGAGGTGCCTCCACGGACCTGCAGGCCCAAGCAGAGGGCACAGCTCAGTCGGACATTCTGTCCTTTTGCCCTGGGATCTACTACAAGCCTCACCTATATTACTCGCCCTGGTTGGGTTTTTTCAACTTTTATTATTATTATTATTTTGCTTTTTGGGTCACACCCGGCAATGCACAGGGGTTACTCCTGGCTCTGCACTCAGGAATTACTCCTGGCGGTGCTCGGGGGACCCTGTGGGATGCTGGGAATCGAACCTGGGTCGGCTGCGTGCAAGGCAAACGCCCTCCCCACTGTGCTAGGGCTCCGGCCAAACTTTTTTTTTTTAAGAGTCCATGAATTAAAATGAACTCGTCCCAGAAAGGCGCAAACAGGTAAGAAGGGAATACAGCAAGGTGTAAACAGAAATACTGCCAGGTGGCTGCTACACACTTCTGACAGCCAAAATGATGACGAGGCATGCGTCACTCCCTAGCTTTCATTTCACCTTCAAGACCCGTAAAGGACTTCTGAACAGCCCAAACTGCCCGCATCTGGTAACTTTCCGGTTCTTATCTTCTTGAGATATAAGTTTTATGACATGCCGTAAGACTGAAACTCCTGAAAATGCCAACGAGGCACTTGCCAACGAAAGTAGCGGGAGTAATTAACTCCTGGGAATCCCAGGCACCCTGGACGGGGCTGCGCTGCTTCTCGTGTACTTACATATAACACCTCAACAGGAGCTCTACTTAATCATTCTCTTACTAATTATCGTTCAAAATTAAAGTTCCTGCAAAATACAGCTAATGAAATCTGTTTCTGTTAAGTAAAGGAAAAACACAGTTCTATACCATCTGGCTACTAGAACATGGCCAGAAAGCTAATGAAACCTGGTACTATAGCAACACGGAAAAGGGCTGGTCAGGCATGAGATGAAGACGCTGAGGCACAGAGAGAAAGAAGCACTGCCTCGAGGAAGGGGGGCAGGGGGGTGGCGGGGCCAGTCCCAGTCTTCTCCGGTTCCTGAGCTTCCAAAAGATCTGAATCAGCATTTCTGCAAGGAGCCCTCATCTGCATGCTGATGTATGAACGGTACCCGGGCAAAGAGATAGTACAGCAGGTAGGGTGCTTGCTTTGCGTACAGCCAACCCAGAATCGACCCCCGGCATGACATATGACCCCTGAGCACTGCCACAGTGATCCGTAAGTGCAGAGCCAGGAGAAAGTCTTGCGCACAGCCAGGTGTGGTCCCCAAACCCAGACCCAACAAGCCACTGACACACAGAGTGCCAGAGAGAGAGCAAAGGTCAAGGCGCCTGACTAAGGACTCTGCTGCCACCCTGGTCTGAATCCCATCAACGTTTACGGTCCCCTGAGAACTGCCAGAGGTTGCCTGAGCAGAGAGCCAAGTGGCCCCTAAGCACAGGCCCAGGCGCTGAGCACCAGCCGTATGGCCAAACAAATTTAAACTATAAAAATAAAAACACATACAATGGGCTGGCGAGGGAACTCAATGAGCTCTGTATGCAGGAGGCTTGGGTTCAATTTCCGACACCACACTCTACCCCCAGAACTGCCGGGAGTGCCCCTCAAGCATATGTGGGGATAGCCACACCCCAACTTAGCACTGCTGGATGTGGTCAAACAACAGAAACTACACATGAGGGCCTGGAGCAATAGCAGAGCAGGGAGGGCGAGTTTTTTTTTTTTTTTTTTTTTTGCTTTTTGGGTCACACCCGCGATGCTCAGGGGACCCTATGGGATGCTGGAGATTGAACCCGGGTCGGCCACGTGCAAGGCAAACGCCCTCCCTGCCGTGCTATTGCTCCAGCCCAGGGAGGGCATCTGACTTGCATGCAGCTGACCTGGATTTGGTTCCGGGCACCCCAGCTGGTGTGAGCCCTGCCGGGAGTGATCCCTGAGTGCAGAGCCAGGAGTTAGTTAGCCCTGGGCACCGCTGGGGTGTGGCCCAAAAACAAACAAACCAAAACAAAAGACAAACTGGAAACTAAGGACTGCAGAGCCCTGGGTTATCACAAGTCTCCTGACAATGCAAACTATTCATGGGAGGAACAAAAATCAACAGGAGAGAGAGGCCACTGGTTCCGGCTAGGTCACCCCCATTAGCAGCGGCAAATACACAGACCAGGAGTGCACCGAGAGAGCCTGCCACATGGTAAGCTTAGCGACCCATCTCCATTCCTTTCTGGACCAGGGGCCACTGGCACTGCCGGCTTCCCCCTTCTGCTGCAGCCTGCGAGGGGCGCCACTGACAGGTAACGGGGAGGCACTGGATGGTAAAGTCACGTTGGAACCTGCCGCCTGGCTGACCTCGCACCCGTGGGAACGGTGCCACTGTGCTTCACAGCATGCTTGTGCCACCCCCGTTGTGTTCTGAATGCAGCCAACTTAGCTTTATACGTGCTCCTGAAGAGACGATGGTGAAACGAGGCCGGGGAGAGCATTTGGGTTGGCATCTCACCGTGATCACCCAGCAGAGTCCCAGGCTCTTGCTAAGCTGCTTCCCCGCTCTATCCAGCAGATTTAAGTTTCCCCTCAACAGAACCGATCACGGCAAGAGGAGCTGTGCCAGCACCCAGCAATCGGGCATCAAGTTTTCTCTGCGCGCCAGCCGGAAGGCTCAATCAGCCGGTCCCCGAGTCTCGGCTCTCCAAGCTGTCAGTAATTTCCTTCTCTACCAGCACTCCAGCTACTCGCCTGAGCTAGCAGTTTTAAAGCGGAGTCCACTTTTCGGAGGAAATGCAGTTTTTTCTAGCTGCAAAGTGGCCACTCTGCCGCCCGACAGGCTGGAGCACAGGTACTAAAGAAAGGAACACACAGAAACCAAGAGAGGAATCGCTACAAAAAGTCTAGGAGTCTGCAAGATTTTCTGAAAAACAGTGAGCTGCTGCTACTGGAACCTCCTTTGATGACAGTGTCCTTCTCAGCCGGTAGCCTGACCCCCCCCCCCCACCAACAGAAAAAGAGGGAGGGACGCCAAGACAGACATCCATCCTAACCTGGGACAGTGGCGCCCTACATCTCTGCAATAGGTTCTAAGGCACAAAGAATACGAACACGAAGTACTGAGTGCTGTTCAAACACCACAAAAACTTCCCTTGCGGGCTGGAGAGATAGCACAGCGGGTAGGGCGTTTGCCTTGCATGCGGCCGACCCAAGTTCGATTCCCAGCATCCCATAAGGTCCCCTGAGCACCACCAGGAGTAACTCCTGAGTGCAGAGCCATAAGTAACCCCTGTGCATCGCTGGGTGAGACCCAAAAAGAAAAAGAAAAAACTTCCCTTGCAATCCCAGAGGCAGCTGCATGGATACTACAGTCCCTGTGTCCCCCCCACCCCCACCCCTTCCGGTAATCGCATCCACCGGTGTCGCTCTGGCTGGATGTATTAGGGTCTTTTATTTTAATGTGGAACCGAGCCCACCTCAAAGAGCAAACAGACTCAAGGTAAAAACACAACTCCCAAAAACGTTTGTTATAAAAAAGGCGGTGCAAATGCTTGCCTGAACATCAAAACACGAGCTCATCTTCCCAGGCCTGTCTCCCTCTCCCTCTCCCCACCTCTAAAAAAGTGAGATCTCAGTAATAAAGTCCTGTGTTCAAGCAGGGAACTGATTATACAGAACTATAATTTATACAGAAAAGCACACCGGGCAGAGGCCTAGGTTTCACTGGGTGGTAAACTACAATGCATGCGGCTGAGGCCTGTGAGACACTTGCCCCCATCTCTCGCTACCTTTTTAAGGTCTCCAAGTGACCAGGGAGGTTCCAGGCCGCAGCAGTGGCAGCGTCCCCCTCCCTCTGAGCAAGTGACAGCACTCACAGCTCGAGAGAAAAGAACCCAACCCTGGCCGAGGCAATGCCTACGCAAATGTTTCCCTAATAGGCCATTTCTGTTCTTCCGATTCAAAAGACAAACCAGGTTCTTGCCACATAAGTGGAATGGAACCGGGCTGAGGAGTGTACGTTACCACAAAGCAAACCTTCGGCCCGAACATTTCACGCAGAGGGCTATTCACAGAGATGAGTGGCAAAGGGTGCAGAATGGATTATCAGGCTAGTGTATAATCAGTCACTCACACGCTCTCCCTGGCCGCAAACCTGAGTGGGGATTAGAGAGACCCTTTCATAAACTTCTCTTGTAATCACTGGTTTCAGCCAACGTCTGAAGGTTTGGCGAGTTCTAAGAAAAGCGAAGACCTGGGGCCAGGGAGCCAGCTCAAAGGGCTCGTGCAAGCGTTGCAAGCTGCAGGAGACCCAGGGCGAGCGTGGACACAGCATGGGCCCCCGGCACCGCAAAAAGTTCCCCCGGATCACAGAGCTGGGAACTGCCCAAGTGCTGCGGCGTGTACCCCAAAAAAGAACAGAAAAAAGGGGAGAGGGTAAGAGAGAGCATAAGTGGGCTAAGCGTGGGCCATGCTTGCAGCAGGACGCCTACTTCAATCCCAAACACCGCCTGACCCCCATTACTGCCGGGAGTGATCCCCAAGCAAAGAGCACAGGGTAGCCTCTCAGGACCAGCAGGTGTGGTTCCCTCCTAAAAGACAAACCGAAAGAAATCGTTTCCAATAGCAACTCACTGTTTTCTGCTTCTACCTTTGAAGAGTCGTTTGTAAAACTCAACATTTTCACATCGAGTCCCTTATCAACTCTTTGGGGAACAAAAAAATCCTGGGGGAGTAAACGGAGGGAAATAAACTTTGTGGTTAAAGAAAATTCTCCTGGGGCAAGGGGAAACATTAAACAAGCCATTCCATGTAAATAAGTGGTTATTTACCCACGTGATGCAAGGTGGATTCCTATGTAGGTCATATCTGTAAGAGCTAATGCCTGCACAGACAGTAAGCGCATTATGAAAGCTGTATATCACTTTGGCTCTTTTGTCTTCATTATGTGTCTAGGAAACTATGTGACTCAGGTCTCTTAAAGGTAATGCAAGAAGAAAAGAACACGTGAGAAAAAAAGAAAAATCTCAAATGAATTATTTACCAAATGCTATACTTTTGAGCAACCATGGTAA